ATTAAATTGTTAATATTATACTATTTAAAAAAGCATGCATTTGATTAACTTACGTTTACACTGCGGATAGCTATAGAACCCTCGGTCACACTGGTTGCATTGTCTTCCTACATAAGGTCGTCGACAGCGGCATTGTCCATTGCCAGGGTTGCACACATTGTCAAAAGCGCCCAGTGTATCACAATTGCAACCTAAAGCAAAAATATAATAATATACAGGAACATGTAAATGAGTGAATTAGAGCCCTGGTAATTCACTAATATATAAAAAAGTTTTTTGCTTTTCTAAACTTTAATATTTTATTGAACTACTTACTTCGACAATCAGGGTAACCATAATAACCAGGAGCACAACGATCACATTTGTTTCCAGCAAAGTTTGGTTTACATGGACACTGATTTCCAGTGGGACCACACACCCGTCCAGTAGTACCGGCAGGGTTACAATCACAAGCTATAACAAAAGAAATCAAGAAATACATGTCAAGCATTCTAGGAAATGGGCCATTGAATATGCTCAGGGGTCGTAGGGATTGTTAGGTTGTACAACTTGCTGTATTGTTTAGACATGTTGCTCATCAGTTCTTGCATGTGACTTTAGATCAGAGCTCATACTAACAATGTTAATTGCTCCTTAAAAAGCAGTTTGGCACAGCATTGGTAAAGGAACCTGCCTGACAGTTTCCTTTCCTTTTTGAATTTTCAAAAAAAAAATGATTCAAGGGTATACAGTCTCCTTTTACAATTACAGCAGAAATTGTTACAGTCCATTGATTAACTCCATTTTCACTATATAACTATATAATATTGAATAACTACATTGTTATACTTACGCCTACAATCGGGAAACCCATAGTAGCCTTCACTGCAACGATCACATTTAGGTCCACCATAGTTAGCTGTGATGCACTCACAAAATCCAGTGTCTGGATAACAACGGCCACTAGAAAACTTGTCATTACAGTTGCAAGCTACAATCAAAATCAGATAGCAAATTTTGCATAATTTTGTTTCATTACATTTCATTTACTAACAGAATATTTAATCTAAGTGACTGAGTTGAGCTGTTCTATTCATAATAAATTCAATATACTTTGTCTAATGACACTTGTATGTATTTGAAAATTTGGATGAGTCTACAGTATACTTTCATCTGTCCAGAGAGGTATTTAAGTACAGGTAGCCAAGTAGACAGCCAATAGCTACTAAGGACACAGATTCGCTAATGCAGATGCAATCGTACTGGTTGTCAACATGCATGTTACATTAGATGCAGCAATGCATTTTAAAACATCTCTCACAAATAAAACAAATTTCACTTAACAGTTTWAGCATGTAACATCAATTTGAAAGTTTTTCTTCTTTGTAACATATTACTACCAGAGTTTACTCTATTAATAATAACTGAAAGTTCTTTACTCACGTCTACATGCATCACGTGACGTCTTTGGTACTCCAGTAGGGTTATAATAGCCTGCTTTACACTGTTCACAGTTWATACCAGCAGTATTATGCTGACAGTTGATACACACTCCACCTCCTTCATACTTATTGTTTAAATCAAGACTTTGTTTATTAGCATCAACATTTGGATCGTATCTACACTCAGACGAATGCCTGTGACAGTTACAAGCTGAAAAGAAAACAATGGAGAATGACCTGTCAGTAATACAAGAGAGGAGAGGAAGGAAATATTCTACACTGAAGAGAATAGAAGAGGAAGTCAAGTCAAGTGAAGAGTTAAATGATGGAGTAAGATAAAAAATAAGATCTAACACAGTATCTAAAATCCCAGACATTTTACTGTCAGAAGGAATTGCAACACGTACATGTAACTGCAAGTCACTTATCATTTTTGAAAAACACAAAGAATCGCCTCACAATGTTGTTTTCATCTTCATCTTAAGATCATTGCTAAGTACAGATGACATCATGTACAACAACATTGTAGGTGTGGGGGAGGGGAGGGGACAAGGGTAGAAGTTCCGCATTTATACTGCACTGGAAAGAAACATCAAAACTTTGATAGTGTCCAAAATTATTTTCTTTACAAGACGTGTAGCTGCATTAGAAATAGAGAAATTGAAAAAGAGGAGGAACAACAGTGAAAGAAAAGGATATACTTGGAAGAGTGAAAAAGATTTCCCATTTACCTTCACAAGGTTTTCCTGGACTCCATTTTTTCTGCACAAAGAATGGACAGCACCTGTCACATTTGGCACCACAAGTATTATGCTTACATTGGCAAACAAACTCAGATTTGCCACCYTGTTGGGACTCTACACACTGTGCAGCATGACCATTACACATGCAGATAGCACCAACTGATATATCCTTGATGGAATAGAAATACTGAAACAAGAAGAAATGAATATAACTTAATTGCACATTCTCTAATAAATGCAATGCAGAAAAATGTGTCATTTTAGCACCATCTGTAATAATCCTTTAAAAAATTCAATGTGCAAAATTACTGTTCAAATTAAGGTCAACAGAATTAACTTTAAGACTATATTTAAGAGTACAGATCAAGAAATCAAAGAACTTAACCCTGACAGAGTSTGATTATTCAATAAGCTTTTCTCTTGATTAACAGGTTTTCCTTCTGTGGGTTCATTAATTGTCTAATGCTAATTAATGCAGATCCTGGCATTGCTGGTATTACTGTCTTTGTACTACATATTACCTTAAATTACATATAATCTTAAATTGATGTACTTACCCTCCTAGTAACCGTTGGATCTTCTCGTGCAAGTGGCAACAGATCTGTAAGCAATGTCTTCACTTTTCTTAACTGMAGACGGATATGCGTTGCCTTTGTCCATTGCTTAAAACAAAAGGGATAATCATATGGATTCATTCTTTTCTTTAAATGCACAGGAAACCCTCCCTACCTGTAAAACTGGGCTATATGAAAAGTTGGAAAATCCTGGCCTGTCTTTTCCAAGAGAAATGTGAATCTAAAAAAATAGAAAATTAAAAATTAACCAATGAATACAATTCAAGACCTCAAAAATGTCACAAATTCATTGTATAACAAACCTCTCCATTCTTGAAAGGTGGGATTTTGCTATACTCAGTGGAACATTTGACAGAGTCGTCTCGTGTGAGGGGCAGATAGCTCTCAATGCCAAAGTACTTGAGACATTCTTTTCTTGAGCCAGCAAAGTGTTGCCATGGGGTAAAAGTGCGACCACCATCAACTGATCGCAGAAGAGACCATACTCCAGGACGTGGTGCATTGCCAGTTTTGATAACAACATATGCAACTTGATATTCCTGGAGATGTATAAAAATAGTCTATTTCAACTACATGTAGTACGTAGGTGCCTTATTTGCTTACGATTCTCGTTACACAGCTGTAAGCTTAAGTTTAAGCTTTTTGAGCTTGTGAGGGCTCTGCAAAATCTCCTCCAAAAACAAAAACAAAATCCTAAAACCTCTTTCAGTAAGCTTAATTGTTCATTTAAAAATAACTATGAAGAATAACAGACACAAAATTCGGCACAAAATTCAAATGAAACGAACACGAGGTGTCAAAACTTTGCAGCAAAGGCCTCACCACACAGACACATGTTTGCACATTTTTGAGAGCCCAGTAGCTTCGAGTTGTATGAAAGTATTCCAAGAGGTCTATTTCACCTACCAACTTTCATTTTCAGAGCTGATAGAAAAGGAAATCCTGAWAGAAATCCTGAAAGATCAACTATGCATGAGCCGCCGTGCGCAAGTAAAAAGTAGAGAGGAGACTGGGAATGGTGAGCACTATTTGTTTTGTCTGTCTGTCTGTCTGTCTGACTAATCAAAATTTGTCCTAATTTTGACTTGACTTTACAGTAATAAAAAAAGGTTTTTCAATAGTAACTAACACTCTGAGCAACCATTCATTTTCTGTAACCGGAAACCAGCAAAAAGTTTCAGCGCAAATTCTTGAGATTCCAAAGAGTCACATTCGAAAAAAGAATCATATTTTAAAACTATTTTGCAAGAATAAATGAAGCAAATTTTCTAGAAAATATAAATCAATCTTGCAAACATTGATTAATATATAGGAAGAGTATAATTTTTAAAATGATTTGATAAAAAAACGCGACGGGTTGGATCTACCGGGGGATCTAACACCTCTAAGGTCACAGGCATTTGGGATGGTTTTAGATTTCATGTGACCACAACTTAATACTAAAGTAACTATTTTCGATTGTATACACGCAATATTTCTTTCTTTAATGAAAATTCGTGTATTTATTCAGCAAAAAGTTGCCATGCATACTATTCTTGGATCACCAGCATGTGCTAATAAAGCAGTGTCGTGACGTATCATATTACGAAAAGAAGAAAAATATTTCACTGMCGTGTAACTGAATAATTACCATCAAAATAACTAATAGACGACGGTTTATCAAAATAAATAGTCACTGCACTGAAAATTTCATGATAATTCTGTCTTGGCGCACACTTTACCTGCTCCAGATCGATTGTRATRTTCACTTTCTGGTAGTCCAGACCTCGGGACAGCGGAGGAGATTGCCACCATCTTTCCGAACCATCAACAGCAAACTTGATATTTCTGTCTTTGTAAAAATTATTAGGATCACAATGGTCGCATTTTAAGCCTCTGAGTCCAAATTTTCCAGGGACGCTAGCCAACGTACAGTATATCTCCGGTTCACTCAAGCCTACGCCGCAAGTTGAAGTTGCTGTTATGGGCTTCCCTGCTGCCACGTTAATGGTAGAAATTTGCCCATATGATGCGTTTGCCACTAAAACCAGCAGAATTGGAATCCATAAGAGGACGGTGTCCTTCATTTTGGCTCCAAAGCTTAGGCAGTGAGGAGATCGCTGAAGGTTTACCGCGGAATGAGAGATGTATCGCGTTACTGCTTTGSGTATGGGCTGGACCGGAAATGAGCTATAGAATATCACAACTTCACCGCCAGCCAATCATTGTTCAGTTGAGTTTGTGGAACGGGCTTGAGTGCTTCTCAGACAGTTTCGATGCCGAAAAACAATAAAAAATTTTGATATGCTCAAAGACTAGTCAATTATTTCAAAAATTTAGAGAAAAAATTTAAGATCCATTTGCATTTGTACTTGTAAGGCCAGGATTACTATCAGTTTCCCGCGAAATTTTGTAAGCCAATCATCATCTAGTGCCAGGCTCTTGGAACATCATCAGAAAGCGCGAAAATTTCGTCCATGTTGGATTTTGAGGATCAAGATTTGTCTGAAAAAGAAACAATATCCATCCTAVCTTTCCGATCCTTGCCATTTTAACGTGTATATAGGACAATAATATGGCATCGGAAGGGCTAGAGTACAATGAAGTTGCTCTTCTTGTACGGGGAKCTTTGGTAAGTCAGATTTTGTTCGGCCTACTCTTTGTCGAACATGAGCTTTCAAACTCAACGTGRTAAGCTTTATAATAAAGATTACCACATTGAGTAGATTTTATACGGTTTTTATTGGGATGAACTTCGAATTGATTTGATACCTTCATATTTGTCCATGATGTTATTTCGTGGAAAGCTGGCCGATTCGATCATTGTCTAAGGTAATTGAGTACCCTGGTAATCGATATATTGAAGATCGATTTTTTATCTTACGAAAAGACGGTGTCAATCATTATTGATTAAACATTAATCATGCACTGACAAAGCTTGTTAATACATTATAGTGCATGCTAGACAGGACAACTTTTTTACCCAAATTTATTTCAAAATAAGCTTTCAACTTACCATCAAATGAACTGTTAAATAATTATCATKGAGCAAGCATTAGGAATTTAAGAATGSTATGGGAWGCATCACAGTTATCATTCCTTACAGAATGCTGGTCGATTAAAGCTCCAAAAAAGTGGTGCAGTATTCAAGGCTACCAAGACTGGAAAAATAGACCACATTAACAAGGACGACATAGAGTCTGCTCAATGGTTTCGTGTTGCAAGAGGACAAGAATTGAAAATTGAGCTCAAGTCTGGTGCACAGTTTAGATTTGAAGGTTTTAGAGAAAGCGTAAGTATTAGAGTTATTCTATTGTCAAATTCAGGGTTACATACAGCAGTCATTATAAATAACTATTGAAGTTTACTATAAGAAAAGCCAAGTAACACTTGGGATTGGYCTAGCCTCCGTTGTTGTCTACTCCAGCAAAAACAGACTTTTTGTCTTTTCCTTACCCCCTTTGTGAAATTTTTTGATTCAACACAGAAACCTCATGGAGTGGAGTGGAGTTTCAGCGAAGGAGGCTAGGATCAGACGAAGCTGGAGCTGCATACTRCAAAAGTTACCCCCTCTCCCTCTCCCTCTTTTAATTCGTATTTCATACAATGTCAGGAATTTTTTTTGCATAAAGGAAGAACTCATGTCAACTTATTGCTGACTTTTTCAATGYGCATCAAATCATTCCATTACAAGACATATTTTTACTTGGTTAAGTTAAATTATGTAGCAAAACTTTTTAACCTGAAATGTTTCACAGCAAATCATGTCACATCAGCAAGTTGAGTAATTTTAGATTCTACATGTATTACCAAACCTGACCAAGGCAATCAAGTATTAWATCTTACTTGTRATTTTATGTTTGATTTAGGACTACTCAAATTTGTCAGAGTTTCTTTCTCAATTTTACGATATAAAAATTGAAAACATGGAATTATCAGTCAAGGGATGGAACTGGGGAACTGCAAAATTCAAAGGTATGCTTCATGCTGAAAAGATAAGCATTGTTATGCCAGTCAACTAGATTCTCAAAAATTCTTTTTAAAAGATATCGCTAATCGCTCTCGTAAAGAGTTGACTTCCCAATGCACTTAATACCATTAAATATGTTTGTAAAGTGTTTTGTAAATCTTGAAAAGATTTAGTCATTGACGGGGGGTTTTTTCATCACTAGGATCCTCATTGTCGTTTGAAGTTGATAAAAAACCAGCATTTGAGATCCCTCTCAAAGATGTATCCCAAGCAACAACAGCAGGTACATGTAAACAAACCAGGGAGATTCTTTTTGACATGCTCGCAATAAATGGCATTACATTGCCAGGTTTCTTTATTATGTCATGACATGGAATTTGCATAGAAATTAATATCACTTCACATATTCCTTAAGTGCAATGAAACTCATCACAGGCAATGCCATTTTAACTGTTCTCATCATTTGTATTGGCAGGTGATAATGAAGTTACTCTTGAGTTTCACCAACATGATGATGCAGAAGTTTCACTTATGGAAATGAGGTTTTATATTCCTACTAGTGCAGATAGTAATGATCCTCATCCTGTCAAGGTATTTATTTTTTATTGAATACTTGGCAAATAGGAATGCCTGGGCAATGTGGCCCTGCAAGTAATGTGGCCCTGCAAGTAAAGAGGAGCCCCTTATAGCAGCAATGCAAATGATGCCAGCTTTGACCTGAATTTTGTCTAAATTACAGCATAACATAAAATTGCACATACTGCAATTCCATTTGCAGAAATTGCTGTTCATTGTATAATATGGTACATATTTGATGTTTTTTTTTAGACATTCCACGAGCATGTTGTGTCCAAAGCAGATATTATCCAGGTTACAGGAGATGCTATTGTAACTATACCAGATATTGCCTGTCTAACACCCAGGTAACCTTCCACAAACTTGGTTTATTCCTGGACACCCACAAGCATATTGTTTTGACTTTATCGTTCTTTATTTGATCAATAGCAGTCTTTTTTTGGTGTCAAGCAAAGTGCTTATTTGTTTGCTAATGGTCTTGTTCTTTTCTCTTTAAGGGGTCGGTACACCGTCAAAGTATTTCCTGCTTTCTTACAACTTCATGGTAAAACATACGATTACAAAATCCCTTACACCACTATCCTAAGACTGTTTTTGCTGCCCCATAAAGACCAACGATTTATGTTTTTTGTGGTAAGTAAAAATTTGAAGTAAAAGCTCATTCATAGTATTGTCATCTTTCGATTAACCAGACACTTTTTTGTGTAAGTATAAACAGACTAAAACAGCAGTAATGTTTGGCTTACTTTAGTACTAACATACTAAATAAATGCTTGATTGATTTGTTTTGATATATTTATTTATTGGTACTTATAACAAACCAAGTTTTTGTATAGATATTGAATTTATATTATTCATTATTTATGATTTGATTTGACAATAGGTAAGCATGGACCCACCAATCAAACAAGGACAGACAAGATATCCATTCCTAATAACACAGTTTGACAAACAAGAAGAATTTGATGTCAAGTTGAACATGTCTGAGTAAGCTTGCAGTGAGACAAATGCATTTTGTGTCCATAGCAGGACTGTAGCCAGAGGGAAACACATGGTGCACCCCATCCCCTTATGATAGACATTCTTGCTATGGGCATGATACATGTAGCTCTCTCCTTATGTCAGGGTCTTAGTGGACCTTGTTGGCACATTGTACGCATAGTAAACTGGAAAAAATATTTAACAAATGCAGAATCTTGACGTTTAATCAAAAAGACTGCATTTGAGTGTGAAGTTTTCAACAACATTGTATGCATACTAAACTGGAAATATATGAGACACGAAGCCATGCACAAATAAATGACTGCAGRAAATTTGGTAATGATTTTTTTTGTTTTCAGTGACGAAATAAAAGAGAAGTTTGAGGGGAAAATAAGTCAGGAAATGAGTGGTCCTATTTATGAAATAGTCAGTAGATTGATGAAAGCTGTGGTGGGGAAAAAGATAACMGTGCCTGGTACTTTCAAAAGGTAGGAAAATGCATTGAAATTTGACTGTTTGTTATAATATACTAAAGCATTTCTTTTCATAATTAATAGTCATTCAGGGACCAGCTGCATGACTTGTTCTTTCCGTGCTGGAAGTGGCTTGCTTTACCCATTAGAAAGAGGCTTTATATTTGTACACAAACCACCTATACATGTACGTTTTGATGAAATCTCTTGTGTGAATTTTGCTCGTGTTTCTGGCGGAGGAAGTGCTAGCAGGTCGTTTGACTTTGAAGTGGAAACAAAGAATGGTTCAACATTCGTATTYAGCAGTATTGAAAGGTATGATAGGATACGGAAGAAAGTCCCAATATATATGATATATGTGCCATAAAATGGTATAGGATTGTGGTATGGCGAGCATCATAGGGAAAATCCGTATTAAAATAAATCGAATGAACTGACATAATTTTCATATACAATGATGAGAGGCAAGCACACTTACCCAACATAAATGTGTTGTTGTTGTTTTTTACAGAGAGGAGTACAGCAARCTCTTTGACTTTGTTAACGCTAAAAAACTGCGTATTAAAAATACTGGRAAGCTTAAGGTAATGAGTGAATTCATGGATGAAATGGTCTGTATGCTGCAGATCGTCAACAGTGGTTCTTTATAGRKGTGGATCTAGTATAGTMTTCAGGGAGAGCAGTGCACCTAAGAAGCGGTTGATATTACAAAAACGATCACAAAGGACGAAACATTCCTAGGGGGTACAGTGTGTCATGATGTGATGCGCACCACCTGCACCCATAAATGAACAAATGGAAAACGAATTACCGCCGTTTGTATTATTACTATTCAGAGACAATTAGAAATAAACAGCTGTTAATCAAAACCATTGGCGCTGTTTTCTATAACCATTTCTCGGTTTTACTGTACCAATAAGTGTATTTCTTGGTCGTTTGTTTTAGAGTACTGCAAAGAACGATAACAAATACGACGAAGATATCTTTAACTCSGATGACGATCAAACTCATGATGCTTACTTGGAGCAAGTTAAAGCTGAAGCTGCTGACAGAGACTCTGATGACTCGGAAGAGGAAGGTTGGTASAGTAACTCTGCAATGCGAACTTTACAACAAGAGTGCGAAAAGCTTTTAGTAGCCTATAGCCACGTAGTATCTTTGAATATTGAACACAGGAGACTGGGCGAAACTGTTCGAAAAGCATTTTGATAACTTGTTTTTCAAGCTATCGACTCACGTTAGTTTTCCTTTTCAACATGAACAACCATGGCTTTTAGTTCGTAAAAAAAGTCTAGGTATTCATTATAACACTAGCAAACTTTTCGATATCCATTCATCGCGCGCCAATTTCAGCTCGCGCGCGCGCATACTTTGGGTTTTCAGCGCGTGCAGTAGGTATCGCGTATTTCTAGCATTTTTTGCGAATTTTTTGCAACGAACTGCACGTTTCTGTGCGATTCGTGGAGAAATTTATTTCAATGGAGCAGGAGTCGGCTTGGGATGCAGATATAGATACAGGTTTGTGAATTTAGGCATCTATTTTGCAACTTATTCTCCCAATAAATTCGATTTATTGCGGCCCGGGAGATTACAATTTGAGAAATACTCTGTTCCTTCCAGCCCGGAATCCTCTTGTCCTCTTCGTGTCCTCTTCAAGTACTCTCCGAGCAATCTCCGTGTTACGATAAAATGTCTAATTATTTGATTCTTGGCATGGACTTTTAAAGCACAGAATAAAAGCACTATAAGCCTAAGTTTTCTATATAGGCCCTGCCCGTCAAATCCTGGTAAAAACTGAAAAWWTTTTCCAAGTTACCGACTAAAGCGAATACAAGTGGATTATCCTAACTCGATTATAGGTTATAATCGGATTTCTTCCGATGTCTTTCGAATTTTACTATTTATAGTTATATGATAAAGTCAACACTTTATTCACGTGCTTGTGGTCAATTTTCAATTTCTCAATTTTCAAATCAGTTTGTCATTTTTTTAATGAAAAATGCGCGGTTGCTCTAAAAGACAATATGTTTATTTGCAGATTCTGATGATGAATCTTTTGCTCCTGATGAAGACAGCGACCGAGACGTTAAAGAAGAGTAAGTTTATCTTTTGTTTGTTTGTTTGTTGTTGTTGTTGTTGTTGTTGTTGTGTTGTTGTTGTTGTTGTGTTTTATTGTACGTTGTTGTTGTTTTATCACAATGATCCGGAAGACATGGTCCTCAAACACAACCAAAGTGCGAGSTGTGCTCAGTAAAGTTCATAGTAAGTTATATAAAATTCATTGTGGATCAGGTTTGATAGCGAAGCATCATCCTCATCATCCGATGAAGGCAGCGCTGGTTCTGGTTCTGGCGATGAAAGGAAGAAACCAAAAGAAAAGAAAGAGAAAGAAAAGAAAAGAAAGGCTGAAAAGCAAAAATCGCCGAAGAAGAAAAAAACTCAAAAAGCCGTAAGTTTAAATCAAATTTTTATTGTCATCTATCAGGTCACCGATGGTCTCGCTTCAATGTAATGGTTACATTTCAAGAGCAGGCAGGGAACCGTGAATAAGGCTATTATAAAAGCGCATTTCATTCTAGTTTTTGATCACAACTATCATTCATTTACAATGAARAATATATTTTGCAGAGATTTCAAAAAGATGTATTTTGAGCGTTGTAAGTTATCGGATGAAAGTGTCCGTATTGTTGAGGTGTTATATGTACATAGTCTACAACATTCAATTCTTGTCCTTCAGGAGCAAGATGAATCGAGTAAGAAAGGAAAAACAAGGAAAAAGAAGGATCCTAACGCTCCTAAGAGAGCCATGAGTGCGTACATGTTGTGGCTGGCAGAGGCTCGACAACAAATCAAGGAGGAAAACCCAGGCATCTCAATCACTGATCTTACTAAACTRGCAGGGGAAAAATGGAAAAGCCTTACAGATAAATCCGTAAGTTTGGATTTATTATTAATTTGTTCAGGGTGCTGTAAAATATAGTTTAGTCAGTCTATAGTCAGTCAATTCATGGATTAGATTAGTGAATAAAGATTATTTGTTCTTCAGAAATGGGAAAAGCTTGCCGCCGTCGAAAAAGAAAAATATCAACAGAAAATGAAAGAATACAAGAGTGGCCTAGCAGAAGCTGGACCAAGTCCTAGGTAACAACACCATTTCACTTTTTGAGCTAAAGGCTAAAAAAAAACACCTAATATATATACTTCTCTGCAAAATGGTCGTTTTTCCTTATGATGTCAGTGTTGGTAAAATTCATCATGGTATTGATAAAATTATCAAAAGTGACGGATATTCTATATGAAACCATTGTAACTACTAACTGCGAAGATTGAAGTTTCATTTGCAAAACGAACGATGCCCCGTTGATAAGAATGCTTTGGGGAATACTTTATTGTGTAAGCATCTCATTTATATTCTTTTAAAGCATTCTCAACAACGGACAACGTTGATTTTGCAAAGAAATTTCATCATTCGTAGAATCCGCCATCTTAATACTTTTTCAATACCATGATGCATTTCGCCAAACGACGTCATTGGGGATGGAAAGGCTCATGCATTGTACTGCAGTTTTGTGTTCGCGTAAGTATTTTGAAGTATAATTTGATTTGTAACCAGCACTCAAAATTATTATTTGCACTAAATAGTTAAGGGGTATTTTCCGTTTCATGGATGCTATTGATATAGTAACAGATGGTACTGTTTCACGGATTTTTTGTTATCTCTGTTTTGTTCAAATTATTCATTAGTTCATTTAATTGTGGTCTTTTAATTTATCTTTATTATTTTTATTACAGCAGCAAAAAGGATTCAAAGAAGAAAGAAACAAAAAAACCTGTTCCTAAAAGCTCGCCGCGAAAGAGTGTTGAAGGGCAAAAGTTCAAAAGTGCTGAATTTGTTGAATCCAGCGATGATTCCTCAGATTCTGATGATGATGTKAAGGAGGTATTGTGCTGTTGTTTGTTCTGTTGTTAGTTTGTTATGTTCTCTGTTTATTTCGCGACAACATAGCATAATAGAAATCTAAGTCCTCGTCCTTTTTATGGCTAGTCTTCCAAGTCTGTTTTGAGTTTTCTTCGGCTCTCTATACATGGACTAAAAACATGCGTGRAAACTTCGTTCTCAGTTTCATTTTTCTTCGTCTGGATTTCGACCCCTACTMAAAGGGACAAGGTCCTAGGAACGATTGTGCGAAGGGAGAAAAAGTTATTCACAGAATAAAGTTATCTACGCTATAAATTTTGTGTGAATTTATCCCTTGGATAAGGTTTGATTCAGTATAGATAGCGCTATTTCACTCTGTTCTTCCAACCTCCCACACTATCTGGGAAAGAGATTTCACGCGCGGCATTCATAAGGGATTTGCTAGGTCCTGTACTTTATAAAGTCCAATTATTGTTTGTTATCTTTTATAAAGACGAAATCCAAGCCGAGCAAGGGAAAGAAGAAGAAAGAAGAGTCAGAAGAGGAGTCCATGGARGAAGATGCATCAGAAGAAGAAATGAGTGACGTAGGATCAGATTCGGATTAGTCGTCACTGATTGGTGGAAATATTACCATAGAAACAGAAATTGAACCTTGTGATACTAATACCAATACAACATCGGCGAAGAGAAATATTATTACAAAAAATGGATGTCTCTATAAAACACAATTAAGTGTTTTACAATTTTGCAGTGGTTGTCTTAAGTTTCCAGCCGATGCATTTGTCAAGCTATTAGTTTTCTGTAGACCGAGTGACCATGCCACCCTGTCCTATCCTATAAACTGAATGAGGATTTCCACAACATGAGCATCAAAAAGCTGTGTCTCGCCTATTTGAGTAAAATTGGACAGTTTGCTTTTTTACATATTAGTGAAACTTGACAGTCGTATTTATATTAGTTTGAAATCGTGTTTGTTTAAGATTTCTTTGAAGGATACAAAAAATCACATGGTAGGGTCGGGTAGCCTTTCATTACATTGTAATTATTTTGTCTGATTCAGTGTATTCAGGATATCAACAAGTATGGAAATAAAAAACGCGCTTGTTATTTAGTGATCAGTTTTCTTTGCAGTTCAGTGAAGGTGATTCAGAAGAAAATAAAAACCAAGCGATCGAAAACACTTCTAACTGACGTCCCCATTTGGCTCTTACCCAACTACGTCAGTTTTGGTTTTCCCTTTAATAGTGAAAGGCGCCTCACAAGAAGTGGAAAACGGGTTTTTTTCTTAGGTTTTCTATGAAAGTAGGGGAGGTTCTCCAGGAGTTTTGCAACCCCAAGTTCTTGGAAGACAGTTAATGAGACTTCATTTGCCAAATCAGTCAAAATCAGYGAGTAAACGTACACATTTTGAATAGGCTGAATTTTACAAAAACAGGTTCGTAGTTTAATTAAAATGAAACCTTGCCCCCTGCCTGGTATTTTGGCCGACGAGTCATTGTTAAAGTTTTAAACACCAGTAAAAGGGCATRCACCTCGTGAGAAAACACGTGCCTTACCACTGAATGAAGGCTATTCAGACAGCACTGTCCCCGTTTCAAATTTTCTTACTGACAAGCCGATGAAGTATGCTTAATTCCAAGGGAAGCATTTCTTGAGGAACGGCGTCATCAACTCACGGCTAGCTGAATGCCAAAATGCYACAATATAAATTGTGACTACAACTTCAGATTAGATTTTAAGTTTTGTCACATAGGAGGGTACTCCCCACGTGCTAGTGGACCGGTCAATTTGGTTTGATTTCTACTGACAAAAAAAAATATAAAGTTTAATGCTGTGCGCCATTAAAAGATCTTTATTGCTTATTTGAAGAAACCAAAAATATCCAAACTGAGCGAATTAGACGGAGAATCTCTCACCTGAATCAACTACCACCCTGTGCGCGACGTTTCTATGGCACTGGTGTTATAAATTAGCATAATTAGCATTCAATATTGCGCAAATCAATTATTCACTGATCTGCATATCACACCAGCGCTGCACGGAGAACTGCCTCGAAATGGCGGCAAGAAGAAATCCTTTCTGTCAGACCTAACAAGGAATGCTTGGAGTTTTTCAATGTGTGCTTTCTTTATGTTGCGTTCCAGGTAAGCTAGCTTGGGTCCTGAGGACTTGTTTATCTGTTGCGTGTGTATGTTTGGTGTTTAGAAGTTGAACATAGTCGACTTTTGTACTATCCAAACGGCGTTCATTAGATTTCTATTTACAAACTATTAAGAGAAATTCGTTGTTGTTTAGGGGAAGACTCCTTCTCACTTTAGAAAAGAGGGATTTTGAGGGGTTTGTGTGTCCACAAAGTAAAAGGTTGACAATTCAAACTCGTAAAATGTGCTTCTTGATAAGCCCTTTTCTCCGTGGTTTGTGGCTTGCCTTTATCTTTGATGCTAAACTTAAAGTCATAAGCTACTTCCCACAAATGTACATACAACTAAGTAGAAAAGATTTAATACCGATGAATTTGTTTATTTGAAGTCCGTAATGTTTACGCTCRCATTTTAAGTCAATTTTGAAACTGAAGTGACTTCTCACGAAGCGTTTTTGGCGTACGACGAGTACTCTCACAAGAAAATTTCMAATCTTAGTTTGAAAAATATCTTCAATAAAAKAAATCTTAGAAGTCTGAAATAAATTTTTGTAATAGGCGAAAGATTGCTTTCCAATTAAGATTGAGAWTGTCAAACGTCTCCATGGTTTTAAGAGAATATTTCAAAGAAAAACCCATCATGAAGCGTTAAAGAACGTGCATCTTCCTCGGACTAGATCGATTCTAGTGTTTAGAAATAAAAACAAAGACTGCAGCCATGTTTAATATATATACAATTATTACTATCATAGGTTCTTTAAGAAAGTGTCAAATGAATGACTCTTAGAAATGTTATTATCGATCGATGGCGATTGTTTAATTGCAAATTTACAAAACGTGTCAAAAAAACTACGAAAAATTCGCCCCTTTATCACGCCTCTWACAAATTGCCTTTTTTCTTGGAAAATCGCCATGTAAAAAAATAGCAATACAAACAGTCGACTTGTGTAAATAAAAAAGTTATTTTGGAGATTGTAATTGTCATTTTTATTCAAATTTTTTCTCTTTTCGGGAACATTGTGAAAAATATCGTATGGGAAATCACATTTTATTTAGTTAACGTTTTATTAGATCTGGATAAATATAGATTATTATATCATATTAATGTTATTTTGATTATTATTATATTTAGGGTCTATATAATCATTCCTTTACGATAACAAAACAGGATAGATTTTCATTACTTCACATTGTTAATTTGTTGACAAGTACATGTAACCCTGAAACAACCAGGCCAATATTCATGGTGTCTCTATACAAAGTGGGCACAAAATAGATTTGCAAGTCAAATAGTCACAGGTTATTAAAATAAACTAGAATATAACAATCCTTTGTACTAGACCATGTGTAACAGAGAAGTGTAGACTCTTCATCAAAATGATTGTGAGTAATAATATCATTTTTTTCTATCTTTTTCTAATTTGTCACACCTMATAAGAAAAACCTATTTTTTAGTTAGCTGTCCTTTATTCGGTAACAGTAATGTTAGAAAATTAGTGCAACTAAAAGCAATTCAATTCAACCAAATTATGACATAAAATGAAACAAACTAATTGAAGTTTAATATGTACAAGATAAACAAGAATACTATTTTTATAGCCTGTGTACATCTGTTTCTCACCCCCTCCAAAATAATCAGGAAGACGTTCTCTCCCGACTTTTTTGGAGGGGCGAGAAACAGATGTACAGGGGCTACTATTTTTATAATACCATCAATGTTGATGAGTCATCTCAAATGTCTTATAATATGCAAACCCTTAGATGAGAGTATAAAAACCCAGTCATTATATTGACAGGACAATATAAAGAGAGACCTAAATTGCACAGCCATTGATATTAGTATTATTGTTCCTGCTTATAGTAATGGCAAAATCTAATGTGTTCCAAATTTGATGCCAATGAGCAGAAATGCTTATAAAATGGGCTTAAAACAAGAGAATTGAATAAGATACTGTAAGTGTATTATTGTACAGGTCTGCAGTTTGTCCAGAGAAAGACATTATCCTGTATTTTTTTATCTCAAAATGGGATTTAGGCAAACTCTTTTTAATATTACCGAATAAATAAACTCTTTGAATTCAAAAAATGATAAAAATATATATGCTTACTATCTTGTAAGGTAAGTTGCAAAGGGTCATTGTCACCTTCCCACAATGCTTTGCAATACTACGACTACTACAGGGCATACAGTGAAGCACTGTCTCAAGAGACATAATTAACTTTATATTTATTATGCCATGTAAAAAAGTATGGAGGAATTCTGTTGACAAAAAACAGGAAAGAAATTATTATTTGAGAATTTAACATAAARGTGACATCCTGTCAAAACTACATTTAAAAATAAAATTGTTTACCTGCTAAAAGAGAAAAATAGAAAACTGCTGCAAATTGAAATGTGTTCATTTGCTCAAAAGGATTTTTTATTTTTAACCCTTATTACAAATACATCATTTTTTTTTTCAAACTTCTTGTGTTATTCCATTGAATATAAATTTCAATTTCAGATTTGATATTTTTTTGAATTTATAATTGAATTAAAATAATGAACACAAAAAATATTAAACACCAAAAATAGTATTTTCATCAATTAAAATCTACACTGTGTTACAGTCTGTTTTTTTATAAAGTCTAAAAAATCATATTGTTGTAAGCTGCCGATATTTCTTAATTTACATGTAAATTAAAAAAGTGAAAAAATATAATATTCCCTGACCTTGGCAGGAGAGGACTAGTAAATTTGCATGTGATAATGACAAAGAATAACAGTTTTGACACAAATCTTTGAATAATCTTTAGAAGGATGTAAGTTTTGAATAAGAAGGATAATAATGAATATTTTTTTTTGTACAGTAACAAACTAAGTTGATTATTTTCTATAGGAATAATACTTGGAGATGCAAGTTTGTTAGATATGAAGGTACAGTGTCATTGTTTATAAGATATAATATAATTATATTTATGTTACTTGATGTTTTTACATGCTAAAATACAAAAAATTATTCTTATTATTTTACTAAAAATCTTCTTCATTTTTTTGCAGCATTACCCTTTCCTTGTAAAAAGAATTGATAGATCTGTGAGAGGTAATAATTTCACAAGTGTCACGTCAAATCTGTGATTGTTTTGATATTTTTTTGTCTTGTGGTTGATTTTTTTTTTTTTTTTTACATTTTGTTGTTTTTAAAATTGTTTGCAACATTTGTTTGTWTTGTATTGAAATTATAATACAGTTTACATGATCTGGTTTGCCGTTTTTTATTTGAAATTTGTTTAAATAATATTTTGTATTATGCTGTATTTATCCTTAGTTTATTTGTGATAYAGTATTTTAATAGCTTTATTACTACCAGACGTGGTTTTGTGACCATTAAATGCCATATTGTGTGCCATATTGTTTGTTCTTTCAACACATCTTCTTCATGTGAATTAAATGTGCTCTAAAAACTAAAACTGCAAAAAAATAATCAAATACAGTCACCAATGCATCTGAAATTTCAAGCATGTATAAATACATGTAACTAGTTTTAAAAAAATAATTTAACTTAAGATAAGTTACATCTGCTTAAGAGTATATTTTCWMCACTTCACTCCACATGCTATTTATTTACTGTCGTGGGAAATTTGACAATATGTTGAGCAGTATTTMAAGTATTTCAAAATGTACACAATTCACATTTTTGAGATCAATTTAATTTTCTTCATAAAGATATTTTTTGAGWCATTATTGTACCAATAGAGAAGACTATTTAAGTTCACGGCTAAYAAATTAACTAGAAAAACAACATTTCAGTGAACTGCTTTACTAAGTGAATTCCATACATTCCTGAGGCATTAATCTGTTAACAAAGTCACTCATGTGTATACAAAACAATTATTCCATTCAATACAAAGGTGATTGATTCGCCTGGGAGGTCACATAGACATGACTAAACTTGTAAAGAACACCATTTCACACACACATAACTCTCTTTTAGACAAGGCCAAAGTCTGCTTCAATATAGTATTCAGTAATATAACATACACATTAGTCAATGGATTCAGCAACGGATACCAGCACTGCATGGATTTAAGTTTATTCACAASATTCAAGTATTTGTAACAAATTTAATTCATACAAGCCAAGCAAATTTGTAAACTGATTGGGGGTTCAGCTTCCATCTTTTGTCTTATCAGCAAGTTCATCTGTATGATACGTTTATTGAGATATAAGCAGTTATCACTGGTGCAATCGAGAGAAAGCTAGCGAGGTGTTGTTCAAGTCTAAAGCCATGTCTGGTAATAATTTGAGTTTCAACCTAATACATGTACTGAATGACTTGTATATAATTATTATCACACTTAGTTAAAAAAAATGTATTTTGCAGTAGTCAGTACTTATCAAGATAGATCTAATTCTCTAATTTATTGAGCTTACTATACTTTGTACATGTGCTAGCAAGAGAGCAGGTGACCAATCAACCATGTGCTAGATGTACATGTAGTTAACTGCAAAACATTTAAAAACACTTTTTTACTGTATGTCCTTTAAATGTCTACAACTAAAATGCCACTAAATGTGAACCAAAAACATAGAAGAGTATTGCAATAACATACAAATTAATGGAAACCATAAATTTAGTAAAAACTACTTAAAGATTCAATCAACTTAATAACAAACACCCTACTCAGTTAATGTATTCAAGCCCTGCATGAAAACTTACACAGGTTTAATTTGAGTTGACTTTCAATGGGGTGAAGTGTAAAAAATGACCAGACATTCTAACTAAATCCTGATAGTTTTTACTCGCAATAATGTGCCTTCTAAAAGTCAAAACCTCACAAACTCATTAGTTGTATTGGAACTCATGGAAAAATCGTCCAGCAAACCTTATTGCTGTTGTTGTTTTGTATTTTTATTTCTTGGTCAGTTAATCATAATATGGAGTGAGAAAAAGATCATTAAGTTGCTGCAAAATTATCTTTTAACTAAGTAAAGAACCATCATCTAACCTATCGATAGCTTTGCTGGTTAATAAAGTCAGTCAAATTAGGCCAAAAAATAATTAGATGATTCATTAATATTGCCATTCTTTGAATTAGCTATAGGATCTTGCACTGACATCAACAACAACAAGATATCAAATGGCAAGTATTATGTCCCGCCTGGTGAAAACGCTTGTCGTAACTGCAAATGCGTGTTTGGTCAGCCAGGAGAGTGTTATACAACAAAGTGTGCTGTACCAACATGCAAAGACTACAAAGCTGTAGCTGGACAGTGTTGYCGCTTTACTTGTCCCAAAGGTAATCACTAGTCTTTTAAAGGTATTATAAGTAATACACCTAATGTAATCTTTTTCACCCAACAACATGAAATGTCAGCTGAAAAGGATAATCAAAGATAAGACAAAAATTAGCATAAAAAAATAAATAATTAGTAGTGGTAATAAAGACAAAGTTATCCTGGATAATACGTTTCTTGTCATGCTCCTCGTCAATATTAGAATCATCAATAATGATCAAGATTGCCTTTTGTTGTTTTTTTTTTGGTGTAATACATTTTATTCCATAAACACCGAATTTATTTTTTTCCTAAATCCTAAAATATGATTGCATTGAATATTTTTTTTTGCATTGAAGAAACGAAAAAAAAATTCTAAAGAAATATACTTATTGTATGTTTCTTATTAATTGTCAAGAACAGAAGAAAAAAAAATTCTAGAGAAATATACTTAATAGTGTTTCTTATTCATACTTATAGTATGTTTCGTATTAATTGTAAATAACACAAAGCAATTTATTTTGTAATTCATGTATTTTGTATTAGTTGTGAGAAATAAAGATTATATTGTAGAATATAAATAGAATAAATGAAGAAAAAGCCACGCAACTTGTAACTAGGTTTTCTATTAATATTTCCCATCATTGATTTTCAGAAAGCTCCAATAGTACTCAACTAGCAGTCATAATCAGCTTATCTCTTGGTCTGCTTGTACTCATTATTATCTTAATCGTTGTCATATCAAGAAATATTAAAAAGAATCGTCGACGTCACAATCAACAACAACAACAGCCACCAATCAGAGAAGAACATGGTGAGCCGAGAAGGAACAATAACGTTACAGATTGTGAGTCTGCTTGTTGTGCTACAGCTTCTAATCATTACTAATGCACCTAACTAAAATACACACTCAGTAGATTCTTGATTTTATGCAGAACTAACTATTAACCCTTAATCTGTCAGAACTTTTGGCGAAATTATGAAATTTCCCACCTTGAGGTTTAAAAAAATTATTAAAAAACATCCAAAAAGTATTAGCTGGCAAGAAATATATCATTGTAAAGAACAGACAATGAGCTTTCAATGCAGTATATTTATCGACGTTTTTGCATACATTTGATAATATTATCATCTGCATCGCTCGATTGAAGTCTACTTCAGCTCCATTACTGCACGAGCCTTCCTCTTCACCTTCAAAATCAGAATCATCGCTGTCACTGGGAATTTCCACGGACTTCTTCTGCTGTGTATGTTGTTCTTCTGTCTGTCCGCCATTTTGGATGCTTTCGATGCCGATTTGGCACAAATATCACATGAAAAATCACTTCTAAAATCCTCGATGTTTCAAACGAGCGAAGTTTAAATCCCCTGCTGCAAGAAAGGCTCGAAAACTCGCTCGAATTTCGCTCAAAATACAAGATTTTTTACACTAAAAATATGATTTAGATCGAACAAACATTCCTCAACANATTTTCCACATATTTATCATTATTGTATGTAAACCTTTGTATAATAGTGATGATTTTTCGTAAACACCGACGAATAGTGCTCAATACACATTTGAGTAGAGCAGTATAGACTTAGTAAAGTATTCAGGAGACGACACACACATATTCGCTGCAACTCTGAGTTTCGTGCTCACGCACTCATCAGGCAGACTTGAACCTTTGTATATATATCTTTAATTTTGTACATGTCGTGCAATTCAGTCATGCAACTGCAATGTGAGAGTTTTATAAACTATCTACATATCTATCTCCAACCTACACTTGAACAGCTTTTTATAGTGTATTGAATGATACTTTATTCTATTGTCAGTAATTACTTTTGACYAGTTAGTTGCTTATTAATAATGCATGTGCCTAACAAGATTTGTTACCATGAATTATTTGCGTGTACATGTCAATATAAGATGTACTTTAATTCATTCCAGCACCTTTAAAYAACCAATTGCCTGCAATACAAGAAGAACAGGAACAGCAATTTGAACCACCACCTCCATACACACCAGTACGAAATGCCAATAAGTACAAAACACGGCATAATAATCATGGTAATGTTATACCCAACGAACCACCRCCACCATATGAAATACAGACTTCACTAAGAGCAACTACTGTATAGCCAAGAGTGAAGCATATGAATTATAACATTATGGTATACAGAATGTAGTTTAACACAAAGGACAGCAAAACAAGTCCGAAGAAATGGTTGTTGTGAGTTGAGCCATGGAGGGACACACGTATCTTGATGCTCATCATGATGGAGTGACATTGAAGTGAATATAAAGGAAGAAAGTTTGAAAAATGCTGAAAGTACATTATTACTGGCCGTACTGCAGGACATTAACCAAAAAGGCCGCAATTGAACATAAAAACAGCRGTTTTAAAAGTACATTGCTAGCTTTGCAAAAGCCATTAAATATCAGTCAATTATTATTGCCCTAGAGAGCAAACAATAAAAAGTGTGAAATAGAACTAACYAAATGGTGCTAAACATCACTATACAGTTACAACAAAATCAAGAAACAACATTCAGAGTGTAGAATTTAGCACTATTTGATTAGTGAACTATTTCATGGTTTTGGTGTTTGCACTCTAGTAAGAGTGAGGTAAAAAAAAACCATAAACAATACTAGTACAATTTTGTTAGAAAACTATTTCACAGGCGTAGTTTATGCACAATAAACAACATGTACATATTGTATTATACATAATAGTCAAAAGTTGAAAAAATCTATTGATGTTGTAAGGCCTGAACGCAATTATTACAAAAATTTATTATTTATGCTCAACAGTAGAGTGCATGTCAAGAAAGTGTGAAGCAAGGCTTAACTATCAACTATTCTTAAAATTCTAGTACAAGAATAGCCCCAAATCTATTTGTAAATTCATTGTTTATTCTATTGTTTTCCATCCTAGGAACGAGGCTATTCCCACCTGTACTTGAGTGTTAAGAATAGTCGATTAAGTGCCTATTAAAATTAAAATTTAGTTATCAACTAGGTAATGAGTAGATGAGTAGTTGTTTCATACTTTTCTGACATCCTACCTTTTTGTGATAAGGAAGGAAGCCTAACAAAAGGGCTGGCTGCAAAAGCGTAGGGAATTTTTAAAAATAGTTTGGTAGAGTTTTTTCTGAGTGCATTTCATTTTAAAGTACAACACACTAAAAGCATGAAAAAGTGCAAAATAAAAAGTTCTAAATAGCAGAATATAATATTGAATTGAACAAAAGAATAGAAACAAATTCACGTAATTCAATACTATTTAGCACTATTTAATTATAGTTTATCATGGTTTTAGTGTTTCTCACTGTAGTTGTTAGGAGTGAAATGTTGCAGAAAATGCTTAGTTGCACGTAGAGATCTCTCAGTTTTCACCTGTCTTGTTACTTTGTCATTCTTTTTTTATGTAGTTTGAGGTTCAGGGATCCAATGTTAGATCCACACTTTTTGAAAATCGAGAACAATGTTGATACAAATAAATTATAATTTAAATGAAACAATTGCAAAGCTATTGACTAGTACATGAATTACACTCTCGTCTATAGCAACAAAATAAGATGACATTTTCATGAAAGTGGAATTTGCAAAGTTTGTATCAGTCTGCTACACTTTTTTTTGCATTAGAATATACACCCTTTTAATAAGTCCCGAGGTATTACGTTCTCCGCACTTGACGTCAAATTTATTCTTTTGAATTCCTTTTGTATTGTAAAAGTTTCAAAAGAATAAATTTGACGTCAAGTGCGGAGAAAACAATACCATGGGACTTATTAAAAGGGTGTATAAACAAAGTTTTTTGCATTAGAATACAAACATCAAAATGGATATGTTGTACAGGGCCAGGTCATTGAAAGCCTGATTAGTGCTAATCCTGGGTTGACTCTTAGAAAACCTAAATGGAGTTAACCCTGGATTAATGCTAATCAGGCTTTGAGCAACCCAGCCCAGAAAGTACATTTTTATAGTAAATTCAATTAAAGCTGCAAGATAGAAAATAAWRGCTCAAAGGTRTGTGGAGTTATTCATAAAAATACAGACTGATGTTTGCCTAGCATTTCYTGGGTTTGTACTGATGTTCTACCAAYKAGAAGTCTAGTTTTTAGAATAAATTTTAATTTTTGTTTAGAAGAGAAACATTTGTTTGTTAAGAAGACTAGGAATACTGTTCATTTCAAATAATATATAATTTCAGCACAAACTAATTGCCAACATTTTCTTAATATCTAATACATTTTCTACCATTTACTTTTTCCGCTTTTGACGTATGGTCTTGCCAACCCCGCCAAATGCTTCAAATTCTGTTTCAGACTTCTCAATGTTCTGAAGATTTAAATGAACAACACATCACCAACCACTT